AGCCTATACTACCCCAGATCGAATATACTAAACCCATCTCTGTTGCCACTTTCTCTACTACCCAGCAGCTGGAACCGCTGCTGCAGACCCTCCAGCTGCTTTCCTGGCATCATCATCGCCGTCTCAGACATAGTGATTGGTGCAACCACAGCAATGACTTGAACAAATCTGCCAGACCTCATAACCCTTCGAACAGTAATATTCACAAGCAACTCCACATTGACAAGAGAAAGCTGGACATTAATCCGCCCATGCAAAGGGCTGACTACGAGGTGACTCTCTATGCAGTGTAGTATAATACAGTATAGTGACGGAGCACTGCTACGGTGAATCGGGAGAAAACATTCCCGACAAATCTCGAGCGATATCCAATTGAGAGCTCTATATCTTCTCGAAAATGTCCTTGACATCAGACCAGACCTCATCAACCGATCGATCGGCGTTGACCTGAGAGATGATAGTAAATCAGGTCCCCCATTTTTCCTCAGTTACCCTCCTCTCTTTCCCCTTGGCCTTAAACCTCTCGATGATAGGCCTCGTCTCAGCCTCATAGGTACGGAAACGTTTTCGAATAGACTCCAAATTGTCATCGGAGCGCCCACTGGTCTTCCCACGGGACAAGAGACGCTTCTGAAGAAGACCCCACCTTCATTTTTCAAGCCCTCCCCTGTGCAGGCCAGGGGCAGCAATAGAGTACCCTAATACGGTCTGCCGACCTACCTCCATCACGTCCTCAGGACAGTCGAAGAATAGACAGAACTTCTCGTCCACCTTACCGCCCAACACGCGTTCCCAACCATCCAGATTGTCCTGAATAGCAACCTCCTGGCCACTTAACTGCTCGACCATCGGCGATTCACCTCATTCCTCGGGAAGCCATCAATGAGGAATTTGCCATGCTCCCAATCACGTTTCTCCATCGCTCGCTTTAGCAAATTAACAGTGATCTCTACGGGGACTATTGCGCCCTCTCGAATATACCTATACAACAACAAGGCAATGATAACATCAGACCTAATACAAGAATCATCTATACGTTACAATATCATTGAAAAAACAGAAGGCAATGGGCCGTCCGCCCGCACTAATACCAGCAATCGACGGGACCCTCCCATCTGAAGTCCAACTCACTTCTCGATAAGATCGCCATACTCGCTACCCTCACGATTGCGCTCCTCCCGCAAGAGGTCTCCAGCTGAGAGGTGCCTGCTCAGTAACCCATCACGATCATCAGTCAGCACAAATGCCCGTCCCACATAAATCCGAACTCCTTCTCTATGAGATCACATTGAGTGCCCTTGCCAGCTCCTGGGCCTCCAAGCACGAAAACAACACTAGGCGCCATAGTAGGAATGCTAATGTAATAGAGAGGAAAGAAACCAGTTCCTATAACGAACGTCGACTCCCCTCCTCTTCATAGTAACGCAAGTCAGTGACGGTGTCTTAGGGTATATGATGGGTTCTTGTAAAGCTGAAGACTGCTGATGCTACTACTTCCACTGCAAGCACATACAGACGATTCGATCATGGGTAAACGACGGTGTTATAATCATACATAACGATCAACCACCACACACTCCTTTGCATCCATAACAGGAGGGGGACAGAAATTGTGCAATTTTCGTAGGATCCATCCAGGATTCGTACATGGAGAAATCTAGAGAGGCAAGGCGGCAATTTGATGAGTAAGAGAGTAACCCGCCAACAGGCCCGAGTGTTCTGAATGTACAATCCCGACAGCGACAAAAACATTACCAATGGGATACAAGGTAGTAGTAGCTGCTGCAGGAGTCGATCATAGTAAAACACCTCAGTGCTCTAGTGGGGACCTACAGTAACAATAACCACAAACAGTAGTCCAGTGGGCTCTCACTTAAGTCCATATCCTCATCATCATCATCCTCATCGTCATCCTCATCGTCATCGTCAGTCCTATGCTCTACCACAACATTCCCAGACTGTATTAACCCAAGCAGCGTGTCCAGAGTGATAATACGAGGACCTTAA